AACGGGGAATTTTTTTTTGGATTGGTGGTCCAGAAGAGGCATGGAGTACTGGGAGCTGCTGGAGAAGGGACAGACGATTGACGCTTCCACATACGTGACCCAGCTGCGGAAATTGAAAGATCACGTCGACCGTACTCGTGGAAGAATGCGGAAATCTACTTCCACCATGACAACGCCCGACCTCACACTGCAAAGGCGACCCAGGCCGAGCTGGAGAAGTACGGATGGCTGATGGTCGCCCACCCCCAGCCCTGACCTCGCTCCTTCTGACTACTGGCTGTTCAGCCACCTGCAGCGCTATCTGGACGGAAAAAAGTTCGAAACAAAGGATCAGGTCAGAAAGGCGCTCGACGACTTCTTCAAGTCCCAGCCTCCGTCGTTCTGGAAGGATGGAATCGACAAGCTGCCTGAGCGCTGGCGTCGAGTAGTGATGGTGATGGTGCATACCTCTAATCTTCAGGCTGGTTCGCTTTTGAGATATTTACAAAAAAAGTCGGGGTTAAAATAATGTGTCGATCTAATAATTGGATCTTCGTTCTAGGACATGCTCGAAATCGGCTCTTCAGAACGCATCGTATTTCTTGTCCACCGCTCTCCAACCTAGGTGCCCCCACTGGTGTCCTATGACCACCGTGCCGTGCCTTGCACGTGCTGACTTTTCTCAAAAAACGAATATACTCACTATCAAATTCGTTTCTTGAGGCACTTAACTCTCCCTTTTTTTTTTTTTTCTCCTCCTCCTGGAACGCTTCTTCATAACGGGATCACTACGTCTTCTCAAACGCTTCCAGGAATAGCTAGTTTGGGCTTCTCAAGGGGTGGTGCACTGTGCCACGTCATGTCTGCCTGTCTGCGTCCTCTCACGCTTTAAGTCGGTTTGTTATCGTTTCCGCAAAAAAAATTTGGCTTTGAAAATATGTGAAGTTGGGTTCTAAGAACAGGATCCGGTGTGAACATTTAGTGAGAACCTCTCTCGCCCTTTCCCTCTGTGGCAGTATTCGTTGTTTGTTCACTATGAAACATTCAAGGAACTGTGGGCAGCATCTCTTGTTATTTATACTTTTTTTTTTTCTGTTGAATTTTACTAGATTTTCGCCTCTATTTCGGTTCGTTAATATATGGGGGGAGAGACATAGCTATTTTTGAGACCAACTAATGATTATAATGGGCTTCACATCTTCCTTAGAAAGCTCTGGTGTCATTGGGTTTCCCCGGTCCAGGAGGAAGCAAAACTTTGATATTAGACAGGGCATGGTCCAATCTGGGGACAAGCAATGCAGCGCTTAACCGCTGCTCCAAAATGAAACCATTCATTCTTTGTATAGGGCGCAACAATGCGAAGCGATAGGGCTTTGTCAGTAGGTATGGAATGAGCTGTGCCGCCACTCCGTTCTCTACCAACAGGCCAGCAACTAGTGGTGGAGAACGCTGCAGTGATTGGGCTCACTCCAGGCCTTCCCACACTTTCCCATGTTTCGCATCCCGTTGCGCTACCCTGAAGTTTTGTGCACATATCGCTTTATTATATAAAAGATTTCTGAGTGATTGTGAGATCAAAATTCCACGGGTGTAGCTGTGATTCTCCGGCAAGGCTTCATAGCAGCCTGCATCGAAGTTGCACTATATTCTAACCGGCTAGTCTCTTATTTTCATCGTTCATTCGAACTGACCCTCTATGCCGTTCAAGTACTGACTGAATGATGCTGCTTCCGAAGAGCTGCCACCTTCTGAATGTTCACATTAAACGAAGGACTGAAACGGGATTCAAGGGTACTATACCACTGGCAGCGAATTGAATAGGAGGAGGTAGAAGGCCTCGTTGCTCGTAGTGCCGCAGATAATTGCAGAGATGTTTCAATCGACGTTCTTTACTGCGACGATTTTGGAACCATACCTGCAAATAGGAGGACGTAGTGAAGCAAATATGGGGGCAGTTCGGCGACGGTAGGGGGAGGGTGGGCATTTTGTATTCCTGCTTGTTCCCATCGACGTGTCGTGCCATCCAGAGAACTATATCATGAGCTCACAAGAGTTGACAGGTCTTACCATGGTGGCTGACGAGCTTGCTCCAGCTTCACAGGTTTCACCAGAGTGAGACTTGTAAACCGGAAGTAGCGAAGCATTGCAAGTGCAAGATGCCCCCCCCCACTCCGTCGTCGAACTCCGCCCAAATATGAAACGTTTGAAGTCATTCGAGATGAGGGATCAGAAAATGGAGGGTTTAACTTCACACCAATCTTCATGATGATAGGTCGTGATTATTTCCTGTCCAAGGGCATATTCCCCGTTCGCCGCATGGTTGGAACCGAACCTCTTATTGTGTCCCCTCTCTCTGTCACCTTTGAACCAATAAGAACGGCAAAGCGAAGGGCCCTGCCCTTACGACGCGCGTGGAATTAGATATGAATGCAAGTCCGTTATAGAACAGAACTACTACTGACACACAGCCATTATCACTGGAGTGTTTCGGGGCGTGTCAGCGCGGCGCCATCTAGTTCTTCTTCGATTGTTGTATCTTCAAGTGTCCAGTAAGTGGTGTTAAGAAGCCGCGTCAAAACCCACGGTACGCTGGCACGCCTCGACTTCAGCGCTAATGATTGAGAGTGGACAGAGGGTCAGCTCTATCCCAACTCAGCATTGAAACTTGGCGCGGACTTTTCCTATTTTCCAAAGCCCAACCGCAATCTGGAGATCTGGTACAGCCCCAGTCCTCTGAAAAATATCACAGAAAGAGCTCACCTGTATTACCCTCATGCTGAGACCTGTTTCGAGGGCCAGTTTAGCTCGGGCATGCTTCGAAGGTTTCGGGGTTGATGAGAAAATTCGGTTTAGCACGTCGAGCTGAAATAAGGCGAACGTCAAACCGGGTCAAGGAGCTCCTCTGCTTTTTTCGCTCTTCGAAAACAGGCCTAGCCTTTCCAGCCAAGAGCTCACTATTGTTAGTTCTGTAAAATATCACTTTTATCCACGAATAATCGTTCTGCTGCAAAACGCTAGGGCGTGTGGGGCGGGAAGCGAAATTCAGTTTTTTTTTTGAAAGCGTGCAACAAACATTATTTGGGTGAAACGGGGTGCGCCACACCGAACCCAGCTTGCTCCCTGACACGCACGCCTGAGCGCCTGCAGCGAATATGACTGTGCGCGCGTTTGCTTTTGTGACCGCACCACAACTGAAATGTCAGCCAAAAAGGGCTGAGAAACACTTCTTCCAAGGTCCATATTCTGGCGCTATGTAGCAGGAGCCAAAGTGGCCCACACTGCAAGTTATGAGGCTGATGGTAAAGTTCGCGATGGTCCTACTGACGGAAGCATGCACCAGGCGTGGGGATTTAGTGGCCTTCTGGCATGGTGTTCCCTGCTTCTAACCATAAGGGGGACAGAGGAAGGGAGTGCCAATGATGTATCTCCGCCCATACAACTAGCGCGGAATGTCTCTTTGGAGGCCATAGTCGTATGCTGAGAATCAAAAAGAGCGCACTTGATAGAAGACACAGCAGACTAGTAATGAATCGAATTGCTCCCAAACTGAGAGACACTGGGTTTTCGATCGGACTCACAGCTCGTACTACTTCCTCCACCTGGTCTGGCCGTCTAGGTGATTTTCCAACAGAGCTGCATTTTACCTGGTTCTGCTTGATGGTTGTCCGAGGTCCACGACGTTTCAGGAACTTACTCTCATCGTCACAGAATTCAGAAAAAGGATATGAGTCGAAGTTGTATGCAAATGTGTCAACCTCCTGAAACAGGTCGACGTCAAAATATGCCTAAATCGGACTACAACTCCGCTAAATGAAACCTTTTTTATTCGGAATTCAGTGAGTCGATCAGCATCGTAGCTACTCGGCTCGGTCGAACATGTCGGAAATGTATTGGTACCACGCTGCTGTTCTGAATTTTTTTACAGTACTTGAGCTCTAAGGGGAACTTTTCAATCAATCCAATTATAGTCAACTGAAGTTATTTAACGAGGAGTTAAAATGAAAACAGATATGCACTAATCACACTTTTGGAGAGCGCCCCGCACCGAAGCTCCACCAGGAACCTAGCGAATCAAGTTATGTGCTCTCCTCTGCTGAATTATAGTCTGGTTCGCTGCCGACAAAGGGGCGTGTCCGGCACGATG